TATTATATTATTTATTTCTTATCATTTTTTTATATTAATTAACATATTTTATGTTAGAGGTTCGTTTTAATTATATTATGAAATATTGTAACATATTAATTTTTCAAGATGACATTTTTGTTCATTTACATGTTTATAAACTAGATTTTGTCAAACATGATTTGTTATCAGCTAGATCTAACTTATCAATTATCAACAAGCTTATCAGTTACCAACTAGCTTATCAGTCATCAGCTAGCTTATCAGTTAGTTTGCCAAACATAACCTCAGTTTATTTTAATCAAAACAATAATCCTTTTAACAAAAATTCTAATCAACTTTCCAACAACAAATATACAATCTTTAACACAAACTCAATTAAAAATCCATCCGTCATAATTAAATATCCTGTTATAAAATACATAAAATTAGATTTGAAATTTCAATATTCAAAATGAATTTGTCGATTCTTAAATGACAGTTTATCGAATTGAAATTCAATCCATTCCTATAAACTAAACGGAACATAACATTCATCTGATTAAATTAGATTGGAATGCAAAATCCAATGAATATTCAATCTGATTAAATCCACTTAAATACATTGGATTTTAATCCTGAACACCCTTGTATTAAGATGTAAAATGACCCAAATTACCCTTCTAACGAATAAACATCTATTTGGGCCAAGAAGGAATCATGTAGACGAACTCTAAAAATACAAACAAAACACTGTACATAAACACCACAATCCACCCAAACACGAATCCAAGCAAACATCAACAAACCATATCCCAGATAAACAAACATTCTACTGATTTTTAATATTCAATGTACACAGACGTTTGTACAACAACAATACATGTAAATTATTCCGAATGCGAGTTTTCAAGTACCAAAACGTATTCTTCGATCACGCCTCTATATATGTCTCAACGGAAAAGGATGGCCTCAAGATGCAGTCCTCCATTGTAGCTCGATTTGGATCTTCCCGTTCCTTGAATCAATGAGATGGTACTTCTCGTTGATCCTTCTGTTGTGCACAACATCCGCGAGACTGATGTCGATGTAACCCAACGATTCCTGTTATATCCAGACAAAGAAAGCAGTCACGATAGCCGTTAATTATAATAAGAGCCACTTTGTTTAAAGACATCATATGTTGATTTTGGCCCTTGGTGATATCAAGAAATCAATCAGCCCAAAGAGGATGAAATGACAGATTTACTGAATCAGTTTGGCTTGACTTTCTTTGACAATGAAAGTAGAAGTACCTTGGGATGCAATAGACCGATCCTCGATGAGGCACTAGCAACTTCCACGTGCAATTTATCGTTCATTGGAGGCTCCTCTAGATGGAACATGAACTCCTCGTCCCATCTTGGATCTCGGTTCTTCTTCACATGCTGCACCAAAAGGAAGATCAATCACCATTCGGGAATAACAAACACAAGGGTCAAGATAATCTTGTTACTCTATTAGGTTCATATTGCGAGAATATGTGGAACCCCCCCATTAGATCACTCCTCAGAAGAGCCCTTGCCTAATCTAGCCGATGTGAACTCCAACCAGCCCCCCACCCAAAAAAAAACCGGGGGCTAGATGGGTACATACTGCCCCAGAATATCGAGTTCCTAGAGTGGTAGACCGTGACTCTGTTACTATGTGAGAATATGTGGAACCCCATTAGATTACTCTACTAAAGAGCCCTTGAGGGTTCCAACATGTATTGAGCAAAAATGGTCAAGTCTGGCTAATGTGGGACTCTTAACACACTTTTTGAAAATGTAACCGAGAAACCGGTAACTTTTAAGTGTTGCCAAATGATACCTTCGTTTTTTTCTCCTCTCCTTTGAAAAGGACTCGGACATATGGATTCGTGTGGTGTTTTCCTTCGACGTCTTGAGCTTCATGGACTCTAACAACAAGTACACCGCCCCCAGCCGGTGTTCCTTCAGGCGCCTTCTGGACAGCACCAGCATCTTCAAACGTTGGCAAATCTTCCTCCTTAAACGGTTTATATAACAATTCCACCACGATTTGCCCTCGTATTTTCTCGTTTTGGACATCATTGGGATCCATATTCTTCAAGAGATCAAGTGTCAAGACCTTCGCCTCATTGGGCACAAGATCTTTCAACGGAACGACGTTCATGCCCATCTTGTCATGTTTGCCAACCTGAGAACAGGACAAGTGAAGTTAGCTTACAAAAGCAAACAAACACTGTATATCCGACCTGATCTCTTTTGGAAGGGCGAAAGTTTGGATTAAAACAAATAAGCATAAAACCATGAAATTTGCCAAGACTTTACCTGTTCCCAATCATAAACTTGGAACTCTACAGCTTGTGATTCCGGATCTTTAACGACCATATTGAATTCTTCATTCCATTCGGGGTTCAAATTCTTATGCTTCACACTGGTCTTCTTCGATGGAAGCTTACTTTCCGTGAGTTTTATTTTCACATAAGGATCGGAGGCACCTAAAAAATCCTTCTTTTTCAACTTGGTTGCCCTCAAAACCTTCACATGAAGAATTCCTACGGGTTTCTTTAGGGCTCTGTAAATCGTCAAGAGTCAAAAGCGTCAAGACGTTGACTTACACAAAGACATGCCAATTGTCATTACTTGCGTCTAAGAAAGAGATATAAAACATACTTGGATGGATCCAATATTTGTACTTCTAGATTTCTAGGCCAAAGATACATGTTGGCAACTTGATCTTTGATTTGTTCCTGCACATTATAGCTTTCAAAATCATTCATTTTCAAAATAAACAACATGAAGCCAATAATATCAACCACGATGCTTTTTTTGGTGGTCCGACATTACCACTGTCCTATAAAGCTTATCCTTTGTTTAGATCATGACCCAAGGGGTGGATTCATTTGAGAACCATAAATATTTTGAGAACAGACTATTCATGAATTATGCATGATGAATATCTGAAAATGCATGATATTCATGATGAGTAATATTCATGAATATTTAGGTATGTTCGTCATGAATAATTCATAAATAGTTGGTTCTTAGTTCTCACAGTTCTCAAAATATTTACGGTTCCTAAATGAATGTTTCCCTTGGTTTAAGTACCTCACATATGAAACTATTTAAGCATGGATGACATCATATTGACAACAAATAAAGCAAAATATTGATAAATTTACTAGGATATTTACCTGGACAAACCTATACAATCCAGGAATTGACATAAGGTCGGCCCCAAAAAGCTTGAGCCCGAAATCAACATGCGGCTGCAAAACAAAGGGAGGCATGTAAAGAAACGAAGTAAGGTATTAGATCCCCCAAAATCTTATGTTTTGTAATATTTGTTATAAATATTTAGGCTCATCCTAAACTTTTTTAAATTAACAAATTGGTAGAAATTTGATGGGTCGAGATAAGTCGACTTGACTCAAACTCAAGGTGCATATTTTCCGTGTTTTGGGACAGAAGTGAATGGTCTTATCAATACACAAATGTATAACTCCCCAAGAATTTCAATTGCGCTCATATTCATCACTGTAGGAATCGGGTTCAAGCTTTCCCCAGCCCCTTCTCATCAATGGATTCCTGACAGAAAGAACCAATTTACCTTCTCCATGAGAGACACGCAGATTTTAGCAAAACAAGGAAAGCTGGGAACAAGTGGTTTTAGTGTAATGCGAGGTGCGGCAAAGACTTGTAGTTCCACCACCTGAAATTATTATTTCATCCAGGAAAACCACAAATAAAATCACGAATGAGATTAAAAGGCACATTTGACTTATTAAGTATGAGCAGCAGTTAACCTGAACCGTCGCTTTTAAACCAAATGCTCTAGCAACAACGGCAACATTAGGATTTCCGGCCCATTTTAAGGACGGTTCCATGATCAGCTCCTTCTCATCAGTAACATACACCTTCATCCCTGAAAAACCATTTTCATGTTACATATCAATATCGCATACTCACTCCATTTTCTTATACCATTTTCCTCTGTTCTCCAATTTGTGGGTCCCATTTTTTGTGTCTTTTTTTATGATCACATAAATAAACAGGTTATTAACATGAGAAATTAAACATTTTCCAATGGGCAGTTGAGGCTTGTTTGAAATAACCTTTGAACATCGTCCCCAAATTTGTATTTAAATGAGCAAAATGCAAGTGTCTTAAGATTAGAGCAATCGTTTCTTTAAACGAAACATAACTTGATCAGTTGCAATGCATAAAAGAAGTTCCCATTGCAAACACTTTCTATTTTAGGTTGTCCAAAAAAATGCAGTCTTTCCTTTTGCGGGAAGTTTTCAATGCAAAATTAACCAAGTTGTCCGTTAAAGCATCTCCAATAGATTCTCCAAGATTTTAATCAAAAATCAAAATCTCCAAAAATAAATTTACACAACTCTAACAGCTTCTCCATTTTTAGGAACTACAACATTAATTATATCATAAAAAAATTCAATACATTTAATAAAAAAGGTTAAAAAAAATTATCATTGATGGAAATAATTAAAAAAAATTATCTCTCTCCTAAGCAATGATATTTGGGGTGTTCTCCAAATTTGATGAATTTTATCATCTATCTCCTACTTTTTCCATTTTGGAGAATCTGTTGGAGATGCTCTTAACAATCAGTATAAGATGTCGGTAAGTCCACAAGTTCTTTAAACTGTCTTGTTAAGGTATTTGATAAAAACCAATAGCAACATCAGGTGTACTTCATTTTTTAATTTGTTTCGACTATTTACTTTATCATTACGAGGTGAGTAAATCCCATTTATATGGTGCGAGAAGAAGTGAGGATGTTATAGTGGGACCCATTTATTAACGAAAAGACGGGGACTACAAAATGAAGAAAATTGTTGGGGCTCTTCACGGAAACAATCTCTCTACTCTTTAAGGTTAGAGGCAAGGTCAACATACATCCCAACCCCATACCCTACTTCTCTGGTATATATTGGGTTCGTTTGGTTTTGTTTGGTTTTCTGGACAAAATAAATGGTGTCAACAAATGAACCTAAGCTTCGCACTTGATATGAAGACTTGATATATGATGCCAAACATCATTCTTTCTCCTAAAAAATTTTGAAATATTGAAACTTTGGAGGTCATCGTCCCAAATATGGGATAAATTTATCGTACTCCCTCTATCCCAATAAAAAGAAGTCAACTTCACAATTTTTCTTTGTAACGAAAAAAGCCTTGTTTCAAATTTTTAAGCTCGAGATAAGTTTAATATTCCTAAATTACCCCTTTCCCTTTTTAAATGTTTATTAGACTCGATTTCTTATAGGCCATGTGTAAGTTTATCCCAAAAAATCATCTTAAAATTCATTATGGATTCTAAACTAGATTGTTTCAGGATGGAGGAGGTTAATAGGTCAAGATTTCTAATTATCATCATAACAAAAAATTAGGGCAAGAAATTGCGGAAAATGATGTGAGGCCGCCAAATATATGTTTCCATGGTTGAACCTCGGTTTCAACTAATGAGCGATTAAAGTTATTTACTTTTGGCTGAAATAATCGCATTTCAACGTCAAGTGATGGTTGTTTGAATTTATTAAAGTAACTAATGAGGAATGCAGACCGGGCTACAAACTATTTTCCAAAACGAATGAAAAGCCGAATGTGTCAAAAACAAGGTCTCAAATAATAAAGAAAAAAGATTACCTTGAAATGTTGGAGGCAAAGACCCTAATGTAAGAGTCTCGAACTCGACTGAATCAATTTTATACTTTGGAATTTGTTCGGCAATAATGGGCTTTGCAATATCCTTTGCAGTCTTGCATATTGCCTACAAGTACAAAAGGTTACTGAATTCTTCAATTTTGAAGAAACCATCAATACCAACGTAATGAGCCTTATGAAAATACCTTGTCAAGATAAGGCCACATATATTCGATGAACTTGTTAAGCCAATCAACCTACATTGACCCAAGAAAATATGATACCACAAGAAGTTAAAGGAAATGCAACATTGGTTCTAATGTAGAATAGTCTTCAAGAAAACATTAATCTTGTGATCGTGGGTGTCCATGCTAATTTGCATGATCTCGACTAATCCCATGGGACCGTAAAGATAACAGACAAAAAAATCCCGGGTGTCCAACGGGCGAGGTATGGGGAGGAGCCCCAAGGGTCTTTAAAAAGCATTATAATCACGAAAAACATACCCGGTCAAAATCTGGGTTTTTTACCCACAATGGTATCTCGGGAAGCAAGCTTTGTAAAGTTTCAGAGTCTCGTTCGACCAAAGGACGAATTATAGGATCCTGTCCATGTCAATATTCATCGATACCAAGAGAAATTCAGTGTCAAAACGTAGAAGATAAAGATGGATCACATTTCAAGAGCATGAAGTAAATTTGATTCCTTCCGCTTGTTGTATGCAAGCTCAATTCCTTCATCATTCAAAATCTTAATGCAGTAAACTAAAAGAATTCCAAAATACCCTTTAAGATCAATTGAACAAATAATCATTCGAGACTCCAAACCGACCTGACTCTGAAGAAACACAGAACAATTGCTACTCTATAACCCATCTCACATACATCTCCCTTTGAGTTCTTCAAGAATCTCTAAAATATAATTTTCCAGAAAATAAGAAAATTATAACTGCATCTGAAGCTATTTAATCCAAAATCCCCAAATCATACCCTTTAAGCTGGATTGAAATAGGAACTGCATTCGAGTTTGATTCAAAACAAACTTTGCATCTAAGATGTATGAGTATGAATCTCTTTATCTCCAACACCTATTTCCATTAATCCAATCATTACTTAACCACTAAGGCATAGAAAACACGTCCATAATTATTGAAGATTCCTTAATCGATCAACTGAAGATCCAGAACTACCTCAAATCAGCGAAACATAAACAAGATCAATACAATATAAGATTCATACATAAATCTATACATATATATATATATATATAGAGAGAGAGAGAGAGACCTTCACATCTGTGGGTTGGAAGTAGATGAACAGATAATATCCGATTACAAGCCCAGCAGAAACCCCAATTCCAAATCCAGAAAACCCCAAGAAAGTACTGATTAAACCCATCTCAGCTCTGCAAGATTCTGCTTCTTTTCACTTGTTAACTTCAAAAACAAATCATACCCACATCAGAAAAGGGAAAAAGAAGAAGTTGCTTCCCCTTTGAGTTCTTCAAGAATCTTCAAATCACAATAAATTTCACAGGAAAACCCCAACTCACGCACCTCTTGCGTTCCCTTGCCGGCTAAAGGGAGGATCAAAATAATTCGATATAAATCGAAAATAGTTTGTAATAAAAAAGCCACCTGTCTTCTCTTTGTTAAAGACCGGGTCGATTGTCTTACGTGCCTACCAAAGTCCTTTTCAAAAAAATTGAGACATGCCCAAAGCGAAATACCATGGCCAAAAATAGATTAATGAATTACAGAAATGGTCCCTTGGCTATTTGTTGATATGCAAGTTCAGTCCTTGGACATGAAATCTACATTAATGATAATGCTATTTGTGGTAATTGTGTCCCATAGGCATGACCATAGGATATTGGATTAGGTTTGGTGATTGCGATTCTATGACAGTGACTTGCTGAACCAATAGATGTTAAATTATTATCCTAGTTTTACACAAAAATCATGTTTTGTATTATTGGTGTTTATTAAAGCTCCATCAAGGGAGGACCTACTTATAGATTAGGGGGTGCACGGGCACCCGCTCGATCATATTGTCATAATGGACATTTATTACTGATCGTAACTGTATACCTCCTTAATTTTGAAATATATTTTATATATTTTTAAAATAAAACTCGAAATAAGAGAGTGAGATTGATTTTGTTATATATTTTATATTTTTTTAATTTTTTTGACATTACTTAAAAATCGGTTATTATTCATTTGACCATGATGTTATCAAACATATTTATGTAAGAAATTTATAAAATTATATTTTGTTGTTGCATTTGTTGACCATTACGAAATCAACCAAAAAAAAAACGTAAAGGTGGAATTTGGCCGAGAAAACACGTTGAGTGTTGGATGTAGTTTTGCGTCTTGCTTAAAAAGTCGATGTCAGTTTCATTTGTAAAAATGTATTGTATCAAATCGACACAATTGAATTTTCCTCGGGTAAAATCCGCGTTGACTTTTCCTTGGGTTAACCCGCGACTTAATTGGCCTTTGATTGACTTTAAAGGTGCATCCCTTCAGAAAAATTCTTAGGTACACCAATGGCTCCACCAATAAGGTATAGTTGATTCAAACAAAATGGACTGTGAAAGTTTGTTGATTAGTAACGAAAAAGTATAAATTTATAAATAAATGTAAAGTGTAAGATTGGTTGTGTATCTGTGGGATGTAAAAATTTATTGTATTCCAATAATTAAAAAATTTATATAAATTTCTTATTAAAATAAAATCCGAAATCTATGACAATCGTCAGTAATTAATATATATAGGGTTGGGTTCATGTGAGACTGTTTTCATGAGACCCGTGAGACTATTTTTTATACTTGAAACTTCACAGTAAAATGTTTTGAAGGTAAAAAAAAAAAGTTGAGTCTTCTCACGAAAACAGGTTGCTCTCACGTGATCTCAAGTCTATATATATGATAACCGGTTAATCGGGTATTAAGTTCGGGATTGTTTTCGGAAATTGGTGGTAAGTGAAGGGTTTATTTGGTTAATGTGATTAAAATGTTTTCAATATATCCACTGCCTCTTGTTATTTGTGAATATTATTATGGGATGTTGATTTTATCTCATTGGGATTGTGGGAAAACAATAAAGAAAGAAATAAAACTTGTTTTCTGTAAATGTGTGTTTTTTTGAGCCGAAAAATAACTCTTTGTGTGTGATTTTGAAGCTGAAGCAAAAACAGAAACTGGATTCTGTGATTTTAATCTGATTAGGTTTTGTTCTTGGTCTGCATCTTCATCTCTTGTGATTATAAGATGAGTTTCATTTTATAAACTTTTCTTCTTCAGTGCGAATATTAAAATTTTATGATTCTTTACGTGGGAAAAATTTTAGACTATGATATACTATTTTTTTAGGATAACTTCATATTTTGATATGTTTATATCAAACGATTGGAATAAAGATGGTATAATTCAAAGAGATGTATTTTGGGATAAGGGTTGCATAATCAAGAGAGTCATATATTGGGATAAAGGTGGCATAATCAACCGAATGTGAAAACTGGGATTTTGATCATATGGTAATATGTTGTCTCATCCTTATGATGCAATAACTTTGGGTTCTCGCATCCAATTGATGCGATTAATGGATTTTGTCGCATCTTATTGATGCGAGAAGGGAGTTTTGTCTCATCCTTGTGATGCGACAAATTAAGTTGTCGCAACCATGTGTTTATCGCATACATTGGATGCAATGAGATGGGTCTCACACCTGTGTGATGCAAGGAAATGAGGTTGTCTCGCTCATGTGATGCGACAAATTTATGATTTTATCTATATGATGCAATGAGTTCTTGTTTAATACGATAAATGAGTCATTTGGTTATTTGATGCGATAATTGTTTAATGTCTCGTCTTATAGATGCGACAAAAGAGGTTTGTTTTGTTAAAACGTTGTTTGTTTGTTATTTATACAAAGAGAATTTCTTTAATTAACAAGGGTGGTGTCTGGTTGGTTTGAGCTTGGCTCCAAATGTCAAAAGTACCTGGAGGTCTCGGGTTCAAATCCAAAGAGGAATAAAAATCCCTTTGTGGCCACGAATGTTCAAATGCGGTGACTCCGGGCTATCTGCAAAGCAGGTGGTCGCCCTGGGATTAGTCGGCTCGCATAGCGGGTTGGATATCCAGGTTAATAAAAAAATAGTATGCATTTTCCACAAATGTTAATTAAAGAAATTCTCTTTTATGCATATAAATATAAGCATGTATTATGTATTCACATCATAAATGGTTTATAAATGGTGACAAATGATGTTTAATAGTAATTATATAAATTAAAAGATCAAAAATAAATTTTATTACCATTTATTTGAAATAAAGTTTATCTTATTGACTTTAATTGTAAATATGTAGGTTAAAAAACATTAAAGATAAAAACTAATTACAAGTCATTAGAAATAAAAATTTGTTTTAAATTAAATCTATCCGGTTAGTTTTATCTTAAACTATGATTCATATTATTTGTAACACCCTAATTTCTATATTTATTAAAATTATTGATGACAAAACAAGCTAGTTATGAGTTATTAAAGCTAGAAGCATGTGTCGGTAAAATTATTGATGACGAAGCAAGTATAGTAAGCATGACAAATAAAAAGTAGAAGCATGAGGTGTTAAACTCTCATGAGAGCAAAGTTGTTAAAGGCTCAAGGTGCACTTAGGCGCAAAGGGATCCAGGGGCCTAGGCACAGGCGTAAGGTATATATATATATATATAGGGGCCTATTCAAGGGAGAACTGAGTTGTTTGTGATAACTGTGAGAACCAATATTAACCACAAATCAATAGATAAATTAGGAAATTTATAAATTTGGTAACTTTAAACTAAAATCTTAATGCAAGGATATTTTTGGTATTTTAAAACTCTCCTCTCTCCTCTCTCCGGCCACCGTTCTCCGGCCTCCGGCCACCGTCCTCCGGTGATACCACTATGATACCACTGTGATACCTAAAAATATTGACTCTGTTAAACAAAAGATACATTGTGATATCTAATCATATATAAGATGCATAGTGATACCACTGTGTTACATCTTCGATCGACCACACAAACGACATCAATGTGATACCCAAACACATATATGGTGCATTGTGATACCATTGTAGTATCACCGGAGGACGGTGGCCGGCGGACGGTGGCCGGAGGACGGTGGCCGGAAAGAGAAGAGAGGAGGGAGGAAAGTTTTAAAATACCAAAAATATACTTGCATTAATATTTTAATTCAAAATTGCCAAAATTATAAATTTCCTACTTTATCTATTGATTTGTGGTTAATATTGGTTCTCACAGTTACCACAAACTAATTAGTTCTCATTTGATTAGGCCTATATATATATATATATATACACACACACACACACACACTCTTATACACAACTCAAATTTGTAACAAGTACTCCAATGGGCAACAACCCCAACAGTACTTCAACAGAGGCAAAAGGGAGAAGGGCTTAAAGCGTGAGTCATGAGGGAGAAATTTTAAGGTCTAGGTATTTATAGAGAAAAAGGCTTGAAGTCATAAAGAGTTGGACACATAGTATTAAGGTTTAACTTATATCATCTATTTAATAAAACTCATTTTTAAGAAATCTAGGAGATATAAAGATGAAAAAACTTATTTAATATTAGGTTTTTGACTTGGTATTTAGTAACTCTTTATGAGGCACGCCTAGACCCACAAGGCGCCTCAACCAAGCCGCAGGGCCTTAATGAGCCTCGTTAATACGCATACCCCTGAATTAAAAAAAGCTCAAGACCTTGAGCCTTATGACTCTAGGCGTGCCTTAGGCGCGCTTTTAACATCTATGCATGGGAATACAACCATGAGAGTAAGAGGGACAAGTAGTTAATCCATTGTAATAACCTATAAAGAAATAAACGATTATTTCTATACGAAAGTAAGAAAACACTCACTACAATACCAAGTTCGAAGTTATAAATTAAAAGTAAAGCTAAGCACAATACAAGGTGAGTGCATTATGAGATTTACTGAGATACATATATGCTATATAATACATTATGAAGAATTCGATAAGATTTTTTTGGCATGTTTGCTTTACATGAAACGATGATACGTCTATATAGCCACGATATATGCATTTTGTGATGTGTTTTACACATAAGGCATGAAAGTTTTATGCAAATTATATGTGACCACAAAAATATCTAACATACTGATTAACTGTTTGTTCTATAAGACAAAATAAAAATCAACCAACAAAATCAATCACATTTATTGATTAACTACTTGTTCTATAAGACAAAACAAAAGTCTTTAATCATTCCATTATTATTTTTGATTTTTGTCATACCAAACATCACATAAGAAAATCGCCACCAGATCAAATACGTTGATTGTTAAAAGTCTGTGAAATTGAAATTTAGATAAACAATAAATAAATAAAAATAAATCAATTAACTATTGTATTCAAGTTTTACATCCATAAAATAGAGTTTTCAAGCGTAATTGAAGCTTTGAAACTCCATATAGAGGACTTGGGATCATGTGAGACAAAGGTTTTTTCGTGAAATCCGTAAGACAATTTCTCAACCATTGGATTTAATCTACAATCTGACAATTTGAACATTCATAAACGCCACGAGACTTCTCAATAATCACAAAATTGTCACCGTGCAACTTTAGATCATTAGCTTATAAAGTTGATCAATGAACATAAATTAGTCTTATAGGTCTCACGAAAAACAATTGGTTTCACGTGAACCCAAGTTCCATATAGGGCTTGACATATAAATTATGATAGAACTCCATATGAGGCTTCACATATGAAGTTGTGCGTAATTGTATGAAGTTTAGCATATGAATTTTAAATGTGAAACTATATCTATAAATGAATAAAATCACACAAGACTTCATATAATGAAATGAAAATAACAGAAAATGAAAATGAGAATGAATTTTCATTTCCTTCAGTTTAATCCGAAATGATGACATGGACTTCTGGAAGAATGAACTCATTATATTATATAAAATCAAACAGATTCTTTTATTTTCATTCCCATTAATCATTGTTGAATACCTCGAAACAAAAAAATATTCTATATCTATGCTTCTAATTCTTCCTTGCGCACCTCGCTTGGATCGCTAGTCTCTTTACTTTTTCTTGGGCACACGAACCATCTCCACTTGGGTCACCCAAAAAAGCTCGATCAAGTGGCACTAAGCAACTTTCCTTCCCCAAACAAACCTGTTTTCATTTGATTTTTCAGTACGATGATCGATTGTATACATATAGTAAAAATGCATATATAATAATAGTCGAAGACGTTGTTAACGATGAGATGCATCGATCTATCGGCTGCAAACGATGCTAGTCGAGTCGTACCTTTTCGATTATTTTCTTGACGTTGGGAGCTTGACACGTTCCTTGCATATACGTACCACACGACCCCCAAGGATTGCCGAAACTCGCGAATTGAATTTCCTTGATGACTTTTTCATGGTCACAGGTAAGTCGAGCTTTCGGCTTTGGCTTTTCCCCGACAGCCTTGAGAACGTCTTTGTCCATTGTCCAAGACTCGATGCTTGGCGGGTAGTCCTCGTACATAAAACTACAAATGATGTCCCGAGTAACTGTATGGATCATAACACCGTTGATGGTTCCACCACTCTCCTCGTACACGACCAAAAGGTTATTCTTTGGTTGTAAGAACGATCTTGGGATATGATACCTGATCGAGAAACGAGCATTACATATAAACGATGTCCCAATAACCTCGTTTTCTCTTTTCTTTCTTTGAAACCATTTAAAAACTTACTCGGTTTGAGATGCCGCTCCTAGCGGTGATCGATAATTTTCCCAATAACGACCAAGGTTATGACCATTGATCCATATTACTCCCTTTCCCATTCGTTCCATCCTGATCGCGACAGGCTCATTTCCTTCAGGAGTCGCAAAGTACGTCTGCAACATTAAATTTTGTTCAAGAAAACATTAATTTCCTTCAGGAGTCGCAAACCATGCGAGCCGACTAATCCCACGACGACCATCTGCTTTGCAGATAGCCCGAAATCATCGCATTTGAACCTCCGTGGCCACAAGGGAATTTTTATTCCTCCATGGATTTGAACCTGGGATCTCCAAGTATTTTTGACCTTTGGAGCCAAACTCAAACTAATCATGCACCACCCTTTTGGTTGTAATACCCCAACAGTTAAGGGTTGTTTGTTTACCTCTTAATAGTTCTATTAAGAGGCAACATCTAAATCATTAAAAGGTGAATCTTGTTTGGCAAAAAAAAAGTCTGCATCTTAATGGTTCTAAAAGTTTCTGAATGATTTTGTATCATGAGACTCCCTTAACCATTAAGTGTCCTGATTTCATTGTAAACAATTACTAAACAATTATATTTCATTTTGCATTATATCATAAAAGCCTCTTAATCATTCTGACCACTTAATCATTTTGCATCAAACTATTTAGCAACCGACAAAAATTACCTTGTACCATGTAATAGGCGTTCCTGGACCACTAACGGGTCCCCATTTAACTTTTTTGGATCCTTCTTCTGTGAACAACTGAAGCATTTCTCCCTCGGTGCCAACCTGAATATATATATACAAGTTCAATAAGCTCTTCATTTTATTTGCTGATGGAAAAAGCCAATACATACATAACTTGAGGTTTGGCATTTGTGCAACTAATACAACCTAATCTTAACCGTTCATTTCATTTGATTAATATATAATTTTATAGAAGTTTTAATTGTTTTCTAATATAAAGTATTGATCATAATTAATGAATCATATTCATCTTCCATAAATATTCAAATCATAATAAATGAACTCTCATCATTTCCATAAATATCTCAATTTATTGGGTTGCATTGATTGTACAAATACGACGGGTTGTATTTGAAAAAAACTCGACATACCTTATGCCCCCATTCGTTGAGTGTGATATCGAGAGTACCAGTACTCATCCCTTGTATAACAACAGCTCGAATACCCGAAAACCGCTTCTCCATATACGCTCCACTGTTCTTCACTCGACGAAAAAGGAAAAACCAACGACAGAAAAACGTCCCGAAAACAGTCATGTTAACAACATATATAGCAAATGAAGGTCACTAACATGATCATATGTTGTCTTTTAACTTTACCGGTAGTCCCACGGTCATCGCCAAGATCGATATTTGATTGGCACCAGTCTTGAAATTCGCGGGTTTGGAGAACGTAAACGACTTCTCAATGTTGCTTCCATGTCCGAATCCTGCATAATTACTTTTCATGGTCATTAGACGAAGATAAACAGCAAAGATGTAGAAACGAATTTCACCTATATATTCTCCATTCACAAACGCTAGCAATGCATCTCCGAGACTTTGAATCTGAATAACTGGCAAGATATCTGAGCGCATGGGTAGATCATCGTTATCAAGATGCAAGCTACACATGCAAAAATGAAGCATGTATATGAGGGATTTCACGTATCGATGGAAGACTCGTCGTTCAGTTCAATCTAGCTATGTGGTCCATTGTACCTTGTGCTGTACCACAGGTAATCGGTGGTGTCTTTAGTCATGGATGTGAGTTCCATGGGTGACTTACTATGAACCGGTAAATCCCTAGATGTTGGAACGATCTCGCGGTAGCTTTCCCATTTAAATCTGTTGGCTTTTCTTGACGGGATGAAGGTCCTCGAGTTATGTTGTGCTACGATCTGTTCTTTTTTTTTTTTCAGACATGAAAACGAAGTTAAATACTTTCTGGCTTTCTCTTAAAAACCCAAAAGAAAAAACCAACAAGTGGAGCCTGATTGGTTTTAGTTTGACTCCAATGGTCAAAAGTACAAGGAGGTTTCAAGTTCAAATCCAATGAGAAATGAAAATCCACTTGTGGCCACAAAGGTTCAAATGCGGTGACTCCGGGCTATTTGCAAAGCAGTGATCGTCCTGTGATTAGTCGGCTCGTATAACGGCTTAGATATCTAGGTTAATAAAAAAAAAACCCATTCATTGACCAAAAACTCACAAGTTCTGTGCTAAAAACAACAGTCTTGCAATCAGGAAGGATGCTAACAGATCGTCGTGGGAGGAAATAACTCTTTCCCCTGAACTCAATCGTTCGATGAATCTTTTTGTGCCGATTGCTCAAGAACGCTGCACAAACATTGCTTCCCGCCATCTCATACGTAGCGATCTACAAAACCCGTTGCAAAAAATAATAAAAAATGAATTGTTTGGATCAAATTTCCGAGAACCCTAAGCCCTAAACCCTAAACTTTAGATATAAAAAATGCTTACTTGGATATAATTGTCAATATTTTGGACATTACGATTACCCAAAATAAAAGGTTTCTTTATCAGTCTCAAAGTTGTATGGAGATCTCTGAGATGACTCCATTTCGGTTCTCGTATCAAACCTGGAAAAAAAAAGGTTCAAAAGATTACGAGAATTATAAATTGAATATTAAAATTTGTTGTTTCTGTATAAACTTATTAATGATATCGAAATTGCTCACCGAATTCGTCAAGGGGAGCTTCATCGTAGTAGCGAGTGGTCACAAAGGATGAGCTTGTTCGTCCAAAGTTGGTTCCACCATGATACTAAAACGGTTACGAGACTAAAAAAGTTAACGAAACGTTATTCAGTTTGTTTAAAAGTGCAGTCAGTTTTAAAAACACTGGTTCTTACCATATAATAATTAGTCATGCTTCCGTTGTTCATGAAGAACCGAGCAACCGAGAATGCGATGTCTTCTGCTGATCTTTGTGACGGTGGATCTCCGAAAACGCGATATCTATAATTGCGAAAAAAAAAATTGAATAAAAACCATAAAAATGAAAAATAAAAATATAATTAAATGAAAAAATAAATAAATAAAACTTACTGAGCAGTCCAATTTTCTGTCCATAAAGCAGGCTTATCTGGGCCATTTGGGCCTGAAAAGGTATCTGCACAATGCCTTCCATTGCATGTACTTATCTAGGCCCAAATAATAAATGCAAATCTAATTAAAAAATATTGTATTTTTTAAAATTCAATGATGAATTTAAATATTTATGTGAAAATATTATTTAAATGAACACAACTATAAAAATGTCTAAGGATGTCACATCTTTGAAGTTGGTGCCATTTGTACCAAATTTAGTGTAAAATGACTATTATACCCTTATGTTTAACTTTTATTCAACAGTACGTTTCAAGAAAAACAATGCCATGAATAGGTAATGCAATAATGTAGTTTGAACACAGAGTACCACTTACCACGTTGGGAGGGGCATCCTTTTGCTTGCACATTATCCACGGGATTTCAGGATACAGTTCGGTTGCCATATCTGCTGCCCACTTGACGTACTGAATACCTTTTTCTCTATATGATTCTTGAACATGATTGTACTCGTTCTCAATCTGCAATACATACAAGAAAATACACCAAAAAGGATATTATTAGTTTTAAAGTGAAAACGACCATTTAGTTAAAGATGGACAGTATGAAATACCTGTGCGAGAATGATTGGGCCTCCTTGAGGTGCAAATAACCTCTCGTTCTTCATCATATTTACTATCACTTCGGTGTATTTCTTCATATGAACCTACATGACCGAAAAAATTTCAGTCATGTAATTATTGATCTACGTTGATGTGTATACCTTCGTGACAAAAATAAAGGTATTTTTTAAAACACCCCAAAATTTTAACTGGTAATTCTTGAATTTCAGATGAATATTTGAACAGAAACATCATATTTTTCAAAATATACTTAAGAAAAAAAGATCAAAAAATTTATACAACACATCTAACCATTAAATAAGTTATATGCACGATGCAGCACGGATGAATCACAATTCTTAAATATCAGTTTAGCTTTGAATCATGAGTTTATGTGGTTATTTTACAAGTCAACTAATATATAAGGTTGAAGGCTAATATGGTGTATTAGTAAGATTGATTGAAAAAATAATTGCACACATGTTGAGTTTCTAAACCCATATAAAGTTGAAGGGTTGGGGTGGGGTACATGCAGGATCTGAAACCCTTTCTGATATCGTTGCTTCAAATTTTAGTTTACTTCAAGAGAAAGAAGAACTTTGAATTTGAATTTGGGTTCAAAATAGGAAACAAACAAAGTGTCAAACAATTTTGGAAAGACCAAACATACATTTTTCATGTAAATATGGCTTACTTAAATTTGAAACTTTGACCAAACAAATGATAAGTTTTAAGCATTTGTACATTATGCATAATAGTTTGTACTTAAGAGATTTTTAAATCTCTTGCATAAATTGATAGTACTTTATGCATTGAGACTTGTAATTAAGACTTTTTGGTCTAAATGCATATTAATGTAGTATAGATATTCAACAGAAGGGTTTAAGAAACAAACACCAACCATATATGGTTCGTTATACGAACGGAATATGATGTCTGGGATGTCTCTCAACCAGAACGGAAGTCCTCTGCTTAAAACCAAACAAAAAATAAATAATAAATATGCAAAAAAAAAAATTATTATAAAATAAAATTTAATTAAAAGAATATGTTACCCAAGATTCCATTCTGCCTGGATAAAGGGTCCAAGTCTTAGGACTGTATACATTTTATTTTCACCAATCAATTTGATGAATTTCACCAAATCATAGTTCCCTGTAAAATTATACTGCCAAAAAAATAAAAATAAAAATAAAACAAAATATTTAATATTCAAAATAAAACCGAACCGAACCAAATCAAATCAAACGAAATCATATATCTCATTTGAAGATGGAGTTTGGAGAAAGTAATATGTATACATATCTACCATCTACCCCAAAAAGTAGAACGGCTGTTTTGTGAAGACTTTCGGCTTGTGAAATTTTAACAAACGGTAAATAATAAAAAAATAAAAATAACCTGGCCTTGAACGGGTTCATGAATGTTCCAAAAAACATAAGTTTCGACTGTATTTAATCCACCATCTTTCGCCTTCTTTAAGATGTCCGGCCACATCTGATTCAAAGATATGAATAAATTTCAAGTGTTGAATTCAAGGAAATGAACGAAGACATGAAAATCAAATTGGTCGTACATCAGGGGTGCTTCGGGGATAATGAATAGAACCCGAAAATATAAGTAACGGGTTCTTGCCAACAACGAGCGACCTAGCATTGTATGTCACCGGTCCGGGAGTGTATTCGTCGTCGGAGATATCAGAAGAAACCGATATCAAGGTGATGGCAATTAAGAGGAGTATAAATCTTGAACGGCTTTTCATCCCCATTTAGTTTTGGATAATCGACCTTCTCGACAAAGATGTTTGGAAGACCGATTATACCTAAAATACCAGATGATTGGTGATCAGGGTTTTCATGAGGGAGGAAAATAAAATCGAGTCATTTTGCCTATAGCAGAAGCTACAAAAAACGTGCGAGTTGAATAGTTCGTATTGTTTCAAGATTTTGTCATATGAGAGATAAATGCGGGTAACTACAAGGCTTAAGAGGATCTCTCGGTTCAATTGTCGCAATTTGAGTTAGCGGCTGTGGATCTTTTGCTCTTTTCATTTAGCATCCGTTTGCTATATTTATGCATATCGTTTCTCCCCATGAATTTTTGTTCAAATCTAAAATAATGGTATGACTTAAAGAAAAGCCCAGATCTAACGGAAAAGATCGTGTTATTAAAACTGCATTTTTGTTTTTGGTTTCAAGTAAGTTTTTTAATGCTAACATAATCAAATTAAACGTGATTTATATAATATTTTGTAAAGACGTACATTTCAAAAAGAAATCTGAATAAGCAAAAGTATTTAGGCATTATTTGGCATATAAAAGCTACCTTGTTTTTTTTAGTGCATGTTTGGATGGATATACGCTATCTTATTGAAATGCTTTTTTTTTCAATTATAATCTTTGTTTTTATTAATTGTTATTAACTACTATTAATTATAAATAAATATTAATAACTATTAATAAAAATTAACTATTAACTATTACCAATTATTAATAATT